CCCCAAAACCCCAAAACCCCAAAACCCCATGAATAATTAAAATTGAACAATTTTAAATTTAAACTCGAGAAATCAAATGTGTATCTCAATAAAACTATACAGTAATTATAATTAAAATTTAAACTTAATTTTAAAGTAATTATTGCACTAAGCTAAATAAAATACATATCATGGGAGGGAAAAAGAAGGGTTTATCATTTGAGGACAAGAGATCTAAGCTACTAGAAGTCTACTATGAAAAGGTATTTATGCAAATAATGCTTTTCATATTATTTACAGAAAGAAGTTCTGAACTTAAAAGAATTGGAAAAGTGGGGACCTAAAAAAGGAATTGGTAATTATTAATCTAATAGATTATATGCATTCATTTAGTTCTCTAAACTGTTAAGGATGTGAATTAAAGTTTGATTGACGACAACATGGTGTAAACTGATAAAATAGGAGCTGGTGCATTTTTCTGGGCACTTCCGTCTTAAGGATTTTAAGTCGTAAGTTATCTATTTTAAATGATACAAAAAACAGAGGAAAAATCTTATTCAAGACTATGATACTAAAATTGAAAAAGCTAAATAAGATATCCTAGATACTAAAGCTAACATAGAGAGAACTTTAGCTGATAGAGATAACAAAGACGGTACTAGAGAAAATTTACTTGAAGAATTAGGAACTCTATAAAAGGAAAAGGCTAAGTTAGATTGTGAATATAAAAATTATGAGAGAAGCGACCCAAAGATAATTTTAAAAATGGAGGATGATACTAAAATTGCATAGTCAGCTGTGAATAGGTGGACTGATAATCTTTACCAGATTCTATAATGGATTTAATAGTCTAAGCCTAACTTCACTTAGAAAGATTTGGAAAGTAATTTCCCAATTTATAAAAACCTTGATTATATGGAGTGAAATGAGAATCGCTATTTATAAGTATTTGAATATTTACTAGTAATTAATTTTTAACATTTAGACTCAAATACTCTATGTTGGGGTTTTGGGGTTTTGGGGTTTTGGGG